CCTGGTAGCATGCATCGTAGCTTGTAGCTTTGTTGAGGAGTTCATAAAAACCTGCATTGCTTTTATAGCAGCTTATATGAAGCTCAGTGATATCATGGTGGTTAAACACAGCATTTCAACTCTTTGAAATTTAATTTCTTTTCAAAAGAGTACTTTGAGCCCCCAAGTCAGAGTCCAGTCTTTTTTCTCCCTAGATTTTGTCTCTGGTTCAGGATTAACATGAGGAAAGCGACTATTATTACACATTTATTACACATGTCCTGGATCTCTCTCTGTGTGGTGGCTTTTAAAGTTCTGACTCTTGAATGGACTTTGCTTCAAAATCTTCTTAAAGCTGCTGTTATCCCCTTTGTTTGTCTGTGAGAATATTCTAGAGCAATAGAAAGTGAATTTACCTTCTTTTTTTTTTTTTTTAACACATCTTCATGAAGCATGTCTGGTTCTGTACATAGAGATAAATCAGCTGCACAAACCCACAAGTGATATAAAAAACCCACACAGACATCTATGAATACTAAGGACATACAGACTCCTCCCAACCAAACGAGCTGCAACGTTATTGTATAACGCTTCAGACTCATCAGATCAAGAATACATTTAGAAGAAATATAAAACACACAATGAAAAGCAATCAACCTCTACTTCCAAGTGGAAGGATGAACTCAGAACAAGTCTGTGTAGACTCTAAGTTCAGTGTAAATTGCTTAAATAGTTCATTTTTGACTCTGTGTTAGAGTCCATCAGAGTTTTTCACAGTTTGATTGCGTGAGGCGCATTAAATGGCACACAGCAGGGGGAGCTGGAGGGTTGTGTCCTGAAATGATTTCCTGTAAGAAATATGTTTTCACAGAATCATGTCCAGTTTGACATTTTATCATTTTAGAAATTTGAAGGATGTAACAACAAAATGCTATATTGAAAAAGTGATCCCAGGTTTGTGTCTAAAAGATAAATATCCACACACACCAAAAAAGTTTGTTTTTACTTATTTTTGATTTATACTTATATGACTTTCAATGTTTGGTACGCTAAATCAAAAATTATATTTTTGTCCAATTTTTATGGTAATTTAGGTTCAGTCAGATACATAAAGACACAAACATTCAAAATTTAGAATTTTACCATTTATTTTGTTAATTTTGCCTCAGAGTCTTTTACTTCCAGATAATCACCTGTACTTTTTGTTCTTGGACTAGGTTTAGAAACTTTACCATTCATATTCTTTTAGTTATGTTTTAAAGAACAGGAAATAATGTTCAAGTTGTCATCAAAACGTTAAGTAGGCTTGAACTGACAAATCTTCTGCATTGTGTCCTTTATTGAATTGAGGTGAAAAGAGCAACTTAATGTTGTAAAAACTAATAGAAAAATCTAAAATAAAACAACAAAAACCTGATTCTAGGAAATAGATGGTTTGTGAGAACCGTTTTAGTTTCTCTTCAGATTATATTCCCCACTTGTGTTAGTTTCAACATTAATCCTACAAAGCATTGAAGTTTTCTTATTAAACCAGCTTGGATTTAACAGCTAATAATTGGTTGGAAAGGCAGAAGTAATAAAACATCCGAAAAGCTTTGGAGCTGCAGCAGAGTGTTAGGGTAGATTATTTAACGCACATTGACAGGAATAGTTTAACTACCAGACAAGAAAAGCAAAGATGTTAGCAAGTACCTGCTCTTTTAGCAGCGTGACAACCCAGTACCACAGCACTCAGTTTGTTTGCATGGCTGCTGGAAAACGGCAACATTATAAACTAAGTTGCTTAGTTTGAGTTTTATATTTGACCCATTTGGTATTTATTTCAGTTTGTCCTCAGGATTATTGTAAAAATATTAGTAATAGATGGAACCAAATGTGGAGATCTCACTGCACTACCATATATTCTCCTTTATCTGAAAAACAGCCGCTATAAAAGCTGCTATAAAAGCAATACAGGTTTTTCCTTTGGTATTTTGAGAACTTTGTTACATAAAATAAAACAAATTGCTTCTGTATTTCAATTGGGTCCATTTAAACTGAAGCAACCATGCACAAATCTAAATTTATGGCAAGTCAGCTGCTGATTTAATTTCTCTGCAGACCAAACTACTACATAAAGTTTGTGATATTTGTATCCTGCATACACTCATGTTTTTCCCTGATACGATCCAGGCCAGGATATTTTTACCTACTAAATCTGATGGGTTTAGTTATAATGCAGCAGACAGAAGTCACATGTGGGGTATCCCAAGGTTCAACCCTAGGATCCCTCTTATTTAATATAACTGAAACAATCAATGAAGAATTCAACAATGGCACTTGACTAAATGTAATGTTTCAATTGTTCCCTGTGTGTTTAATGACTTTCTAGTTTTGTGTTTTTATGATGGGAAGCACTTTGAAATGCCTTGTTGCTGAAATGTGCTGTACGAATAAAATTTGATTCGATTTATAAGAGCTCAATAAAATAAAAACAAAAAGACCACCATTCCATTTGAAAACTAGTATAATTATTTGCTGCTGGTATACATAATTGAGCTACATGTTTTGTTAGCAAAAACAGCTTCAGTGCAAACCCCCTGAACTCTAGTACATTTACAGCTCTGCTAAGTCACAAGTATTAGAAACAAAATTAGCTCAACAGATTAAGAATATAGTTACAAAGAACAGTCAATCTTCCTCATAAAAGGCACAAAGGGTGTGCATAAGTAACTGTGTCCCTGTTTGAGAACATTTGCATAAGTGAATAAATCCATCTTTCTGCTGATGGATGATCTGCTGATCATCCGTCTGAAACGACGCCAGAGGCGTCGCTTCATCATACGATTACAGCAGAGTGCAACAATGTAAATTAGTGGAAAAACTGCATATAAATACATCTCCTTAAAATATATAGACTAAATCAAGAATAAAGAGTTATTTAGTACCATTAATCAGAATGAACAGAAACATTTCAAATATACAGCATTTATAATATTTGCCAAAATTATATTCAATAGTTGCCTTATAATGCTCCATTCTATATTCTGGGGAGGGGAAAAAAGTGCAACAATTGCATTTGGGAGAGCAGGTTTGCACTTACATAAAACATTATAGGAAACACCTGAACTAGTTATTGCTGAAGAATGAGGAGATTGCTGCATGTCGTCAGTTAATCTAGCAATGCAGCATTTAATGCACTTTTGGAAGAAAATAAAAAGGTGGTAAGTGGTTTGCAATAAATACCATTTCCTTTGACATTTTAGACAGTGCTGGTTTCTTATAAAGACTAAACTATTTATTTCTACAGGCGAGTCTCCAAAGTGTCGATGATCCGCTGCTAATAAAGAGAAATGATGTTAAGAGTACACAGTCTAAAGCAAGAAGGAAATCACAGAATGTGTGTTTTATCATTTGTGAGAATAGAATGACCTTTTGTTTCTGGTTTTCAATTGTTTTACAGATAATGATCAAAGCATGTTCAGGAATATATTTTCTGTTGAACTAAACGAGCATTTAGCTCTTTTTGACTTTTGCTGTAGTTGCACAATGAATGTCGCGTGCTGGGAATGTCAAATTCTGGAGGAAACTTACATATTTCATTAAGATATGTTAGCTCAGATCATGTCAATGAGAAACCTTGAAAATGCCATCATCAATGGATCTGCGACTTTACCCAGTTTATTAAACCAGAAACTGATCCGACTAAAAGAACTTGTCCCTTTTCCATCATTTGTTCACTCGTTCAGCTGCCCTCACTGGGTTTCCCCTCAGTGCCTTTACCAGAAGGCATCTAAAAAAAACAGCTTAGTGGACCCCCTGCAAAGCAGAAGAGGAAATATCTACCACAGACTTTCATTCTCACAACGTAGAACAACAACGTCTGAGCATGTTCAAAGTCAGGCCCTGATCCCACACCACTTGTTGCAAAAGATCTACTAAAATCTTTACTGCAAACTGCTTCAAGATCCCATTACATTTAAATAGTTTCTGTTTTAACCACTGGGCTGATTTCTTGTCAACTGTGACAGATTTTTTTATGTCTTTAATAAATTAAAACAGGCAGGAACATTAGCATCTATGATCAGAGAATTGCATCACTGCTGCTGCATTAAAAATGAGTATTCTCTCACTTCACACATCTGTTCTACTAAGAAAAGCAGAGTTACAGTTCTACTTTAGTATGTCTTAGCTTTAAAAACCCACAGCAAATTATATGCAAGGCCTGGAGGAGGAACTTTAAATTCTGTAGTAAAGGTGTACCATGAAGTAAAATCTCAAAATGTCCTTTTTAGTCAGTTATGGCAGAGAAGGATATGAGAAAGTACATTTATGTTTGCTAGACTAAAAGGCTCAAGATAAACCTATGCATATTATACAGATGTTTGTTTTTTTTCCCCACAGACTTTGCAGAAAAAGTACTGGCCAATAAGAAGGATGCATCTAAAAGGATCCTAATTTATTCCTACAAGAGTCAATGATTTAATCCCCAAACAAATTAGGAATAACCTCATCTTTAAAGCAGCAGCAATGGTGCAAATTCTAGTGAATGTAGGTCAGTAAATTTACAAACACTTGAGGGTTATTTTTAACTTGTCAGCAGCACACGTATGGACAGTTTAGTAAAAGGTCATGGAAAGTAATGTGATCTGTTGTTACAAAAATCCATTAGAAAGTGTCGTTAGCGAGAGTCTCTGTAGAGAGCCAGGTCTTCGCTCCATTCAGAAATTTGCTAATCGGAGTCCCTGGAACGCCTCGCCGGCACAGGTTTCCCACAGGGTTGAAGGGAAAAGACGAGTTAAGGACGTTGGGTGAAGTTGGGGGGTCATCTGGAGAACTGGCCTTGAAATACATCCTCCGCTGGTCGGAAGGGGGTCCGCCCGGTCTCGGGCCGGGGGTGCTGTGTGGACTGGGCCCTTTGTACTGCCTGAGCTTGTTCTGCAGCGTCTCGATTTCATCAACCAGTTGGGAGACCTTGTGGTAGACGGTGGCGGGGCCTCCGTGTGGGATGCAGGCTTCGGGAACCCAGCGTAGGAAGAACAACTTCCAGAGAACCACGTGTGAGGGCAGGACGTAGGGGATCAGGACTCCCTGCTGGTCTGCAGGGCGAGAAAACCAGTCCCTGAAGAACCGCTCCGACGGACTTTCGTCTTTCACTGGAGAGAATTCGGCCTTCAGCCCCAGAGAGCCCCGCCGCTGCAGCGTCTCCTCATCGCCCTTTACGCCGTTACGCTGCGACGTGCTCGATATTCGCACCGTAGAACTGAAAGCTTTCTGTTGGAGGAAGAACACGGGAGCAGATTTAGGTCAAACGGCAGAAGATCCCAAGACTATTTAAAGTTTCTGAACCAGTCAAAAAAACTTCTAATGCCACACAGTGGAGGACTTGCTCTAACTTTAATTTAAGGTCCTTCATGTCGGATTGTCACAGTAATTAATTTTGCTAGACAATAAATTGTCCCAGTAATTAGGAGAAATGATAATATTGTGGTTTTGAGACCTTTATCAAGTATTACTGATAATGGCGCGCCAGTTGAACAAATTTGTGTAAAAACGCTGGAACTTTAAGGCATTTACCAGCAAAAAACAATAAATAAAACAACAAAAAGCCACTTGCAAACAAAACAAAAATCTCCAAAAGCAAAATTCTCCTTCAGAGAAATATAAGAATAAATATCAAGCTCATTTTAATCCTGTAATTAACCGATTACTACTTAATGAGACAGACTTACCCTCATGAAAAACTGAATCAAATATAATCACACTTTTTTAGCTGATTGGGTTAAATGAATAGAAAAGGATGACTGAATAAGTTTTAAAGTCACAGTGTTGCACAGAACACAGAAAAACTCAAAGAAGTGCACACAATTGAGACAAAACCAAAAATTATACCTATAAAAAATTCTACATCTTAATTTCTTGTGATGGAAAATTAAAAAAAAAAAAAAAAAAAAAACAAACATGGACGAACCAAGAGAAAAGCAAAATAATCTGTAGATAGAATGGATAATCTCTACATCTTAAAAACTGTAAGGTTTATCCAGAACAGCGGGACTGACTCTGTTGTTCTGTTTTCGCTGCTTCTGAGCCAATTTAGCAGCTCAGATTCATCAGAGCATAACCAATTGGCCAAAAGGCCTCGGCCTTTGGGCCGGTTCAGTTATTACAGAACATCTGACCGATGTGGAAGCTTGTGGAGCAGCTCAGACAGGTTGCTTGATTGATTTGCAGCACTAGTTTTCTATCGGACCTCGTGTTGATCCGCAAGGAGGATCACATTCACTTAATCCAACTACCTCACCAGAAAGAGCTCACATATATACCAGATTAATTTGAAATAGCTAAAGCTATGTTGACAACAGCAGATTATAAAACTAGTGAATTAATGAAGCAAAGAGAGAACACACAGACGTCACATGACGTGCTAAGAAAGGGAATAAATAGCTCTGCGTTACAGCCGTCAGCACACACACTGTTCACTTTCCCAAACAAAACTCCACATTTTACCCTCCTGTGTCACGTTTCAGTAACGCTGACAGCTGACTCTTAATGTTTTGGAAACAGAGAAATCTATGAATCTAAGCCTTGCATCAGTAGGATAAACAGGGCTTTCATCGTGCATGAATAAGTGTTTTCTTCAGCCTCCGAGAAAATTAAATGAGGAAGAAAAGGTTTCTTTTTTTAAATAAAAAGATCCTTCATGCACATTCAGATGTGGAAGAAACTCGGGTGCACACATGGTTCTTTTCCCATTTTTTTTTTTTTTTTTTTGCTTACTCTCTGAATGTGCTTTATGAAAAGCCAATCTCAGAGCATTTACACCAACTCTTAAGTGATGTAAACCCAAAGGTTACACTAATAGCAGCCCCCTGCTTACCTTTGTGCGTTGGAAGGTTTTCACCTCTCCGTTCTGAACACAGGCAGCTCCTTTCCCAACATACATGGGGTTATTAAAGAGGGTTTGATCCCTGGCGGAGAACTGCTGTGACCACTTCCACACAGGAGGGAAGATCGCCGTGTGGGTTTCCCCTGGAGGGATGGCTTTGCTCTTCGCAAAGTCCTGCAAAGGAAACAAAATATTAATTATTTTAGCACACAATATGAACTAAAATAATTAACCCTGACATGCGTTGTGGCCACTGCAGTGGACAGCTATCCAAAAGCCACTTTCTTGTGTTTCTTGTGGATTTTTATATTATAAATGCACACAGACACCAGAGCATCATACAATACACCATCAACTACTGGCCATTCACTGCAAGTTCAAGAAAATATTTGATAAATCCAATATGACAGACAAAAAAGCAACTCAGAAATATCCAGTCCCTCCTTGCAGGTAAAAAATATTTGTGGCATCAAGTAACGCCTAAAGACCAATACTACTGATGTATTACAACTGATCACCTGGGAAAAAAAACATGTTAATTTTTTCCCCCTACCTTTTTTATGCAGTAAGAAAATCAAAAACACTTTTGAAAAAACATCCTGACAAAGGATCATCAATCATGCATGAAAAGGTTAGGCGCAGAGACAATATTTGACCTTTCTGTAATATGTGGGCTACTTTGACGGACACAAGCTAATTATTATAGCATTCAACTTCTTGTGCATCATTTGGATAAATAAACACGCCTTAAAGCTGGTTAGTTTTGAAAAATGATTCAAAACACATACAGAAATAACATTTTAGATTAAATTAAATGTAATTAAATGTCAAAAACATTCTCATTTTCACATTTAAAATATTTATTAAAACAGTATTACTGTTGCATGTTCGCCGACGCTTGTAAATGCATCCACAAGAGCCAACAAACGCTCAGTAAATGTAAAATTTCTCACCTGTAAGAGCTGAGTACACTGTTTAGAAGAATTGAAGAGGAAAGTACTGAAGAGCGGGATCCACATGCTGTCACTGAGGACCGTCAGGTAGGCCTCTGTGAACTCGAATGCTGCCGGGTACTGATTGGTCAGCTGCCACACGCAGTCCAGGAACAAGGTGAACAACGGAGACTGTGACCAAGAGAAGGGAAACAAAGCGGTGAGAAGAACCAAGAACGTCTGAACTTGTTCGTGACTGCAGCATTTTAAATTAAAAGGCGTACCTCCTTATTGTCGTTCTTCTTCAGATGGTTGCATCTGTCCAGGAAGCGATGGCCGGCCATCACCCACTCCTTCTGTACCAAACTCTGAAACCCATTCAGGCTGCGATAGTGAGGGTCCAACATGAGCTGCACCAAGGAGGACACCACACAGTTCAGGTCTCTGTCTTCTTCCTCTGCACAAGAATAAACACAAAATGATAATTAAAACATATTCAAACTCATTACTCGCATGAAACACACTGTGGCTCCATTACTGATGAATGGAAATTACCAAGAAGGACGACGGAGACGTTCTTCCCATCCAAGTTGTAGACCGTCTCAGCTGAGACTTTTAAAAACATCCTGGCCCAGAGACGAACAGAAACAGCAACATAAATACAAATATATACACAAAAAACATTTCTAAATAAATAGAAATATAAGCTTTAGACTTTCATACAAACTTCAGATTCTTTTCTCTTTTAACCACTAAAGAAAGCTCAAATGCAGCGTAATAAAGGTAGAATTAATTGTTTCTTACCATTAGCCAGTTCTCTGCGAATCATTTCGTACAGATAAAAATACCAGTTTGAAGTGATGTTGGTTCGTTTGCGTACCTGACATACTCCAGCCATCGTGAATTTTCCATGGATGAAAGCCATCTCTCCTCTGATTCCTCAAAAGGATCTGCACAAAGAAAACAAATCTCCAAACTCTGCACAACCTTCCACTGAAAAGACATTTATTTCTGATTTATCATCAATGGGTTACATAGGACTAGTAGAGCGTTTACCTAAAGTGCAGATCTGTCTGGCTTTAACGAAGGCACCCTGGATCTCCTGGATGTTGGGAAGATTCCTGTCCAGATCTGTAAAGGTTACTTCTCGGCGCTGCGGATGGCTTCGAGTGATCGCCGTGAAGATCCTGTAAATAATAAGACAGACGATAAGTTAAACTATCAGGACACGGTTCTAACACTAAATTGCACTACAATTTAGCACCTGGAGTGGTTTAACATCTCAGATAAACACGTGACGGCTGCCATTTTCCAGTTAATAACCATCGAGTCAAATGTCTTAAAAGTTTGCAAATAATCTTATGGTGGAGGTTAGAAAAGAAATAAAAGATGTACTCTGGTATCTATAAAAATGTCTTAAACTCTAATATTGACCTCAACCAAGTAAAAGAAGCAGACAGATTTGTATTACTTCAGTTCAGTTTTCCTCTGAGCCAGCGGTTCTGTTTGGCCCGCCATGCGGACAAGAGCGCTCCCATTCCTGTGATTCCAGCACCACAGCTGCAAACAGAAAAAAAAAAACTACATGAAATTTTGTGTTAGCAGGAACTAGTTTGAATTAAATGAACAGAATTATAGCTTTACTAATAATTTGAGCTTGAATCAGATTTTACTTACAGGGACTCGGCCATCATTAAACAATGGTGATAATTGTTTTAGTTCCTGATCTGTCAAAGAAACTGGGACCACAACATACTCTGGAAGACTGAAGGAGTTAAAAGAAAACAAAAGAAAAACAACTTAAAATTTCACAACAACAAAAAAACAATGATATCCAGAGAACAACAGGAACCTTTTACACTCTTTATCCTCTAAACAACCTTCTAGCATTTTAAATAGAGTTAAAAACAATTCAAAAATATTGTTTAAAGCCATGTATTTTCAACATTAGTTCTTTTCTGAGATAATGGAGGTGTGTGCATCTCTCAGCTGTTTAACTTGGGCTCTATATAAAATAAAATAATCAATATCAGCTGAATTAGTTCAGTGTGACTCAGTCTGGAAATGAAAGTTAAACTGATCTGTGGAAAGAACCTTAAAAAAAAAAAAAAGATAGTTGCCCATCTTAAGTCATCTGCGAGAGGGTTAGATATTTTTTTACATAAATAAAACATGATCTGAAAACCTTTCAGAGACGACATATTTCTCATTGATGGAGCAAACCCGCCACTCCGAAGCCCCGGTTCTCTTAATCTCTCGATCCCAGTCAGAGGGGCGGTCAAACATTGGCGTCTGTATTCCTCCATTTGGGTTGGAGCCATTGACTAGGTCCCCTGGAAATAAAAAAACAAAACAAGCATTTAGTTCTGTAAAAATAATGAAAACTTAAAAAAAAAAAGAATCTACCAGGTAATATTTATTTTTAGTCACCTTTAGATTGATGATATCTTAGTCCTTGATACTCAAAGCCAAACAGCAAGTGAAGATCAGCTGGATGTGAATAATGGGCAATAGCAAGGCAGACCTATATTCAGAAAAGATAAAAGTACCTTCAGCGACTTAAAGCAGCAGCACTATAGAACAATTTAATTATTGTTTTTGAAGACGACGTCAGCTCAGATCCAAAAGCCAGGCTCGTTCTGACTACAATGAACTCAGAGGAAAAACGGAGGCATAAATAAACCCTAAAAAAGCAAAAGTCTGTGTGTAAGACGCAGCTTTGGGTTCACGGGCCTGAGCAGAGCTTTGTTAGACTCTAGCAGAACCATAGAAAGAGGTTCTACTGGAGTCTAACAAAGCCGTCTATTCAGTAGTAAAGCTGTGAATAACACGAGAGGACACAGAAAACGACTGTGTGTGTGTGTGTGTCTATAGAGAAAAGGCAGCTCCCTGCTCTGTAATTTCCTATGGGAAGAAAAAAAAGGAGCTATTATAGAACAGCAAGTTCCATATGTCAAAGGGTTAAAAAAAGAACCGGGCCTCGTCTTAGGTCCATACTGTAATTACACAGACGGGGTGTCCATCAATAAACCCAAACGGTAAGAGAGGGCAGACATATTCTGTGTTAGTGCCCAACGCTAAAGGAAACATTTTACTGTTTTATACTGTCGTAAAGCTACTGCTAACAACTGCATGTTTGGCAAGAAGTGACGTTTAAATAGCAAGTTGTGCCTCTCAGTAACCCCATAATTTGTCAGCTGTGGCGTAGGTATATGCTGCTCCAATACCTGGGGTAAAATTACTCCCAGATGATGGCAGACATGTAGCCATTTCAATAAATGTAAGGAAATATACTGTATAATCCACTGAGGAAGCTCCAAAGTAAGAATCTGGAGGCATTATGCATTAAATTCAAATTCTGCAACTCGAACTTTCACTACAGCTCCATAGGGAAAAAAAAAAAAAAGTTTTTTCTTCTTATCGTTTGAGTTCATTAGAATTTTTGTTTCTTGAATAAACTCTTCAACAACAACTCTTTAACAAATGAATTTGCAGATTTCTAGAATGGGAACTGCTGCATTTATTGCGTCACAGCAGCCTGAATTCACCCCCAAAACTGAGAACTGATGTGGAGAAAACAAACATCTGTTTGGCGCTTCGCTGTGTTGGAGATGAGGCTGGCTCACGCTGCCAGTTCCTCCAACTATCAGGATCAGATTCTACTTCCTTCACCCTGAGTGAGCATTGTTCTCAGTGTCCCTTTGTTGGTTAGCTAATGAACACACATCCTGCAAAAATCAGTCACTTCCACTCACATGGAATGTGACACAGCTGTAAGAACAGATTTAAGTGACGTCGTTGTAACAGTGACACTGATGGTTACACTGATAGACTGTGCATAAGCAGAGAGTTCAAAAGCTGAAATCAGGAAAGGAGAATCTTTATCAGCAGAACAAAATAAAGTCAAGAGGAACATAAACACAATCGAGAAAGCGATAATCATCATACACAAAAAGGAGAAGCTGCTTATTTTTGACTAGTTTATTTTTGTTAATCTTAAGCAAGACTTGAGTATTTAAACAACAGATATTATCTACACACACTAAACATTTTTCTACACCTCCTAGAAATGAATTCAGCCCGACTTGTCCTCTTTTAAGCCAGTTTTCATGATCTCTACCTGCTACTGTCTGAATAATGAAAGAAAGCCAGAGGTCTTAACAAGCCAAACAATTTGAAAATGCTCAGATGATTGAGCATCTTTTCAAGTTTCTGATTCCAAATTACATTTAGACCCATTGATGTATTAAAAAGGCAACGCCATAAATCATAATTTACATAAAACTTCAGTGAACAAAATAACAACTAAAGCAGTCATCTGAGCTACCGGGAAAATAATTTTACCAGTCTTAGTCGTGTTTTAGTACAAAATCCAGATGACTAAAAGTTCAACGCTCATCTGTTCATGTATTCATACACATCTAGTCATTAAGGTTGCACAATAAAGAAGACAGTTATCCTCTTCATAAAACGACTAGGCAATACTAAAATTACAAATAACTACTAGATAAATACTAGATAATTATATACAGCAAGGTCCATGCATTCAGCCTCTGCATGTCTGCGACGAATTTTGTTGCATTTTCTGGAGGAAATCAAGACGTTTTGGTCAAGTCATTAAGAAACAAGTGGTTTCCTTTCCAAAACAGCAGATGTAGCCAGATGCAACATTTTAAATAAAACCATGCTGCTGAGATGAAAACGGAGCATTTTGCTGGATAAACTAATCACGAGCTGAAATCTAGGTTTGAAATGAAGCCGAAGTAAGAAGACAGTAGAACTGCTATTAATTTGTTGCATGTATATCATCATTGCCACATCGAGCAACTTTATCATAAATCTTTAATTATATTACTCATCTCTACGTGTCATCGTACCTTTTATCAAGAAGATGTGTTCGTATTGCATAGGAATTTCTTTTTGATGTGAAATGTGCACAAATTTAGTTAATCAAGACCAGGAAAACTTTAATCTGATTTGACATCAGACTGTGAAGGGAAAAAAAGAAAAGTAAATTTGTCTTTTTTTTTTATTCTTTTACTGCAACAGGAAAGTGTTGCTTAAATGCATGGTTTCATTATGTGGTCCTGTGGTTTTGGTGTTCAGTTAACACCTGTTAAATATTAAACCATCTGTAAAAACAGGAAGAAAAGCGACATCTGTCTCCTTCAGCATATGTACAGCATTCTTTTCTTGGCAAAGATCTTTATCCTGAAAGTTTGTATTCTAGAAAAGAGAATAAGTAGCTAAACCCTGCTGATGATGCATTTATGTTTTAATGCATGACTGGCATTTATATTACCCGTATTAGCTTCCATATGTTCAGATTGCGAAAAAGATTTTTTGTGTTTTAAGAAAATTTCCTCTCCACTGATCAGATGATTCAAATACGCCTAGTCATCTACTTGCAGAAGCAGCTTTGTCACAGAGACAGAAGTAAAACTGAATTTCACTCACCTTTTTGGCACTCTCAGGCCCGGCCTCGTCAAAGCAGAAGCGTATTACACGCAGGTCTTTGCAGTACAGAATAAGCTCCATTGGGTTGAACTTCAGCTTTTGGTTGGAGCCCAACACTTTCTTCTTCCCCCTTGTATCATTAACTGAGAGAGACAGATAAAAAGTCTTCAACAGAACGAAGCATTGTTGAGAGTATGAACACCAGTACGGCTTGCAGAATGTTTTAAGGCATAAACAGAAAGTTCTCATGTATAAACGCAGGGTCAAAGGTTATAAACGCTTGAATGTACAAAATTTTTAAATAGGATATTACGCGCTCATGTAAAACGGCTAAAAAACAAGCTGAGTAAATGAACATCTCCGTCTCACTGTAACTCAACAACTCATTTTCCGGTCGTTTGCCTCTGCAGCGTCAGCGGACTGCATCAGTGCCGTACATACAGAAACATAAGCCAGGCTGCAGTGCAACTGAACACTGCATTCACCCCGACATCACATGTTATCAGATTGCTGACCAGGAAAAACAACAGCCGACACCAGTAAGCCAAGATGCCCACGCAATAATGAAAAACAAGATGGATCCTCTTACTTTAATTCTGGACTCTCCAGTCGAGGAGGGTTTTTTTTAAAAAAGTGATTTTAGATAATAAATAAGGAATCAGAACATGCATGTGTGTATTCTGCTGTACCTGTTACTACTTGATCAAGGCAGGTGAGAGAGATGTCTTGTTGTCCAAGTAGGAGGTGGGACAACTGGGATTTCTACAGTGAAAACAACAAAATTAAAATATGCACACACTTAAATACCGCTTGCTGCGTTGTCGAGTTATGCTCGGGCTCCATTTTGTCCCAGACCAACAATCTGTACGTGGAAATGACGTCAGCTCTTACTTCTTGTACTATCACCAACAAGGAAGTACTTCTTCCTCTTTTCTAAATGAGCTTGATGTACAAATAAGGCTGTTTACAAGGCCTAAAAATACACATCAGACACATTTAATCTAAGTCAAGATCAACATTCAACTGTTTGAGTAAGGTGAAAATGCTGCAAGATGAAAAACAACTTGATGGCCACAAAAAAAAAAAAAGAAAAAGAAAAATCTGAACACATACCTGCTTAGGCGGGGGTTCTTGAGGAATAAAAGAAACCTTAAAGTTGGTGCATATCAACCTCCCCCAGAGGTCACTCTGGCTGCTGTCGGTGCCGACAATGCATTTTCTCACAAAATTCACCTCATTTACGATTATCTCTCCTGAGAAAAACACGACGAAAGACAAAACAAAAACGCCAAAATTTAAAGCTATGACTTACTAAAGCAAATTATTCAAGAATAAACAAAAACAAGTACATGACAAAGACGAAGAAAGAAGAAGAAAATCTGTTTCGAGACAAAAAGTAGTCCATAGCACATACATAAAATAAATCAAGTAAAAGGAGGCATCACAAAGCAGATAAACAATTATTCCAATGTTTTAAAAAAGCTAAAAGTAACCAACGTCGCTACGTGTAGCAGTTGTCAGAGCTCTTAAGTTGTTTGATAAATCCAAGCAGCCCATAAATTTATACGTGAAATTCCTCAGCAAAGCACGAAAAGTCGGCATGTTACTCATGACAAACGCTGACTTGCAGATGTCCAACGTGGAAATCCGAGGAGGATTTTAGAACCGTCCCGAGAGGCTACCTGCAGTTTCTTCATCACAGCGTTATCACAGGTGAGCCACATAAAACGAGGTGCAAAAAGTGACTTTTTAACTTCGTTCACACAGGGTGAATTTCCGTGCCAACATATTAGTTTGCATGTACAACTTATAACACTGCCACTTCACATCACCATCATCATCACAGGGATCACTCCTCAGAAAATGACCTAAATATTTTACATTATTAACCAAACTCAAATTTGATATTTGCTAAATAAAAAGGGAAATTCATCTTCAAGAGTAAATACATTAAACTCCCAAAGAAATAAATGCCCCATATATAACCTGACAAATATTCAAAGATGTAGTTTTCAAAACTGAACAATTTAGATAAAATGCATCTGGAATGGACAATTTGCTTTTATCAAACTTATTGCACTCCAGATATCTAGTAGACAGTTTTGTAAAAAAATAAAAAAACCCAGTTCCATCTTTATAAGTTGGCTTTATTACATTTCTTTAAGTTCTTTGCAAAAATATGGCACACAAAAGGTTACGACGTGAATTTGCTCAAAAGAAAATCTTCATGAAACAACAGACTAAAGCAAGACTTTAGCCAATTGGCTTGTTAAAGCCAACAATCTTTGTGATGCTGCCACCTCTGCTCCATTTGCTGTCAAATCAAACCCAATTAAGCACACACTTCACCCTGGATTATCTAATTTCAGTTTATGAAAACTTCACAGGTTTTCACAAGTTTCTGTATAAAAAGCTCATCACAAACGAGCTCAACTAGTCCAGCAGACTTTTGCTCCCCCAGAACGTGACATCGCCTCGTAGCTAAGAAGACAGGAAGAAGAATGCAGGAAAATAGTGTCTTCAATAACTTACATACATACATATCAAAAACTGAAGTCAAAGGTCAAATAACACACATGCAGCATCAAAACTATGTCCACATATGAGCCGGATGGTTTCCACCCTTCCCTGCTGAATCAGTCTTTTAGCCGTTGTGGGCCTTCGGACTATAAACCCCGTGTGGCTTTTCACATTTATTACAACACAAATCATAAAGAGCAACAGGATCCATGTCCATCACATGACCACTAAACACCTCGGGCTCGGGGATCTGGGGCAGCAGGGTGGAGTCACTGCCACCACTTCAAAGGAGCCAAACAAAACCATGCAGTTAAAAAAGAAAATGAAGAAGAAGCTGAGAATAAAACCTGTTGGTTTGCCTGCAAACCAGGGCAAAAACACAAAAAAAACAAAGCCCACTTGGTGCAAATACCTTCAGAGTATCGGGTGAATAAAAACTAATGTGCTCTGACAACAGAATACACTGTAAAATATGATTAAAGAATATATCAAAATTGTAAAGTACAAAAATCTCACCAGTTAGGCAAATTAAGCTGATTTTATTTGATAAATGCCAAAATATTGAAAAAAAAAATGCTCTATGTTTATCAACTATTTTTTGGGATGCAGATAATGATGTAATAGCTTCGTAATCTGTTTCCCAGCTTGCATTGGGAAAGAATCAGAACACACACCAGAAAGGTTATGAGATCATTACAGGTCAACTGAGAGAGAACAGGACTAACAACCAAACACACCACTACAACCTCATATCCAAAAATTAACTAAATAAATCACTAAAAAAGTTTCAGACTTAAGACAAGTCCATCTGTTTTAACTGTAATTCATAGGCAGCAGATATTTTATGAAATATTAGGCATGTTTAAGATAAGAAATTATTACGCTCAGAGCTTACACCGGGGCATTTCTGCAAAAACTTTCAAAGTACAACTCCTGTTTAACAGTGTGACTCACTTTATTACAGGTAAAGGTCATCTAATCCTTTTAAACCACTTCAAGTAAAAAAGCTTTTATGTGAACTGGAATAACTGATTTTGAGTTGTGCACATGGTAGCCACACCTCATGCCTTTAAAAACCTCTCACTGCAGCAAGTTATATGGTTTGTACTACTAATTAGGCCCTGCAGATTAAAGAAAATGAGTCAAAATAATGAATCGGTCTAGAATATCACATTTCATCTGTCAATTTTTGTCACAAGTATTGCTTTTCAGAGGGTGACTAAGAGAAAAGAAAAATAATTTGTGCTGCTGCTGAAGATAAAAAAAATCATCACTGGTGGGATTTTTCATAGATGGAATCTACTGAAAATGTTTTGCAAAGTGTTTACAAGGTGGCTTGTTTTCACTTTGAAATGCATTTTAAACAAGAGTTGGCTTTTGAGATTAACCGTATCTGATTAGACCCCACGAATGAATATCCTGATTATTCATTATTATAAGGTATAACTTTTTACCACTTAATCAAAAACACCAAAAAACAATCGTGCCTCATGCTTGCTGGTGAGCCTAAGCAGAGATAAGTTGTAGACGGCACAGATAAATACAGTCTTTAATTAATATGCATTTCACTTCCTCGTTGAAAATATAAACCGACTGGATGAAATATGGTTCAGTTCTTCAAAACACAGAAAACAATCTAACCTGGAAGGAACTTGGGCTCCAACTTAACAGGTGGTTCAATATTGTTCTTCACGTCATTCTGTGGAAAATACAGAGAAGAACGACATCAGGGTTAGAAACATGAAGACTTGGTACTTCTTTGCCGCGTCACAGAACATCACAATTAATGTCAAAATGTATTCAACATAGAAATTAAACAGAACTTGGTCCTGAAAGTTGAAATAATGTAGATGTACTTGAGTTCAGTTCAGCTTACGATACTTAAAGTGAGACTCGTAACACAAGACTACGGATTTACTGCATTCAGCTAGAGACGCTCTTTTGTTTTCCTCAACAAAAAGAGGAAAACATATTTAAAATGCAGCAGCATTTTAAAAATCCAAAATTAATGGGAAAAAAAAAGAGTTTGAGATTTCTTTTATTTGTTTAAAATCCAGTAAGAGAGTTAAAATGTGTTTTTTCTTTTCTTTTTTTTTTAAAAACAGCAACTTTAAGATTGTTACTATCTCTATAAAATATGCTGCATTACGGTATGAAAAATGATCAAGAAAGTGAAAGACGTGTCTTGTCCTTTCCCAGACAAACACTTTTTGTTTGGGCTGCTCCTCAGAGTCTGTAAACAAACCCTTTGACCAAGCTGCCTGAAGAAAAACATTGCACCGGTTTACAAAACAGGACAAATTACAGCCTTCATTCACTCAAGGGTTTCTGGAATACACACAATATAAAACGAACATAGTGAATTTGTTTTTCCTTTCTCAAAACCGCAAAGGTGAAAGAATGAAAATAAAAAAGCCTAATTGACTGTCACCTGACATCAGGGATAAAAGTGAATGTGAAGATTTCATGGAATAGTACTGGAACGATATACATTTCTAATCAACTCGGTAATAAATTAAAAGTTACCCATTTCTAGTGATACATTTTAAAAAATATTCTATGCTTAGTTAAAATAACACAAAAAGTAATTACAAAAAACAAAGTAGTAACTTCAATAAGCTCTTAAAAAATAGAAATGCACCGCCTGGACTTTTCTTGATTGATATTAAGTTCTGGTTTTCTTTGAGCCCTTATCAGCTATTTTTTCCTAAAAACTATAAACATAAAATAGAGAAGAATGTGCTGGTGGTGTTTTGATAAAGGTAAATGTTTTTTAATCATCATAAAAATAAAAGAATGCCAGGAATGGCCACATTCCTCCATCAAAGCATAAAGTTTTATTAAACACAAAATATGCCCCAAAGTAATGGTCCATGCATTTATAATTGTTTTTGATTAATTTAATGAATGAATGAGGATGACATTTTATATTTTTAGCAATTATTTGGATGGCGTGGTATATTTTAATGAAATTTAAAAAAAAATGAATGGGAACCTGTCATCAACTTTTTGTTGAAAAAAAAAAAAAAACATACTAGCAACTGTGACTTCAACTTTGCTGAATGTCGACTTTTCACTTCTATGGAAAGTTTTCAAGCCAACGAACAAAATAAAGAAGTATCCATTTAAAATGTACAACTCAAAGCACAAAAACGGGAAGCTACTTGAGGAAAAGCATGAAGTTACTTTCCACTACTTCAACCTTCTGCAAACAGCAGGAGAGGTTTAGATTAAAAGTAATTTTACATTTACTTAACTGACAACAATATGCATGCATGCAAAATGTACCCTTTCGTAATCTCTGATAGAATACAAAAAAAAAATAAAAATACCTGCGCAGGAGGAAGATAACACTTGAAGGTTGGTTTCATGGGCTTGCCAGAAAACATTGTTTATTTCCGCAGTGTTACTTGTCTTCAAACAGAAAATGAAGAAGTGCTTTGGTCCTGCCAGCAATGGAAACAAATAAATCCAGGAAAGTTTTGCTCAGCCCGTCGCTGACTTATTCCAAGCCGTCCGTGTGTGAAATATTCATCGAGCCCTTCTGGGTGAACGACGACACTCCTCCATGCCGATAAGCAGACAGTTTCTGGCTGACTGGAAAAAGTTGACAGAAGTTACCGTTCAGACGGCGGCGTTAGCTCGTTTAGCTAGCTAGCGCAAACTACTAAATGAAGTTTGTCAGTATCGCTTCCACGCAGATATATGACCGCTAGAATAGATTAATGCGTCACCTAATGGCCTACATTTTCTTTACACCTGTTACTGCATAAGTTCCCCGCCAGTTACTTCCTTAAAGTCCAACTATTCAGCCAACGCAGTACCTGACGCTGCGAAGGACTTGACGGCCATGTTTATAAAGAGCCGAGGTCCCGCCCTGCTTCCGGGCTCCAGCGCTGCTCTCCACCGAGACTTTCCGACATAAACTTTCTGTCAGGTTAGCACAGGACGGCGCTCACACTCTGCCCGTATTAAGAGCTAACTTTATGTCAACGAGTACACGGTACAGTACACACTGACCTGCGTGTCATTGTCAAGAGAAAACAGCGTCTGTTTTACTAGTTATGTAGTACACCACCCATGGACTACAAATCCCATCGGGCTCTGAGGGATTACCTTGGAAGTTTGTGATCTTTTTTCCCTGTCTATCTTCCCATGATCTTAGTTCTGTTTGGCATTTTCATTCTGTTTTGTCTTGATGTTCTGTATGCCACAATAAATAAATGAAAGACTAAGAAAAATAAAGGTAATCCTATTTTAAATATGTTGTCCTTTCCTGACAAATTAATATAACATTTTTAGACTCTTATATGCACCTGATAAATTGTGATTTCATAAGCTTTGCACAAGTTTAGTCATCTCCCTTCCCTCACTGCAGGACTATGATGACACATCCAGCTTGGCAGTGAAGTAGTAGCTGCTTGCAAAAGGTTGGATTCACTTTTGTTTTCAGAACTGATTTAATCCATTGGGAAAATAGAATCAGTAAGGTGTTGGAAACTTTATCTGAGGTGGAATCGAGAGCCATTACGCTGAAGTTATTCAATCCACAAGCAACTGTATAGCACGGATTATCCTGTTTGAAATAGCCATCGGAATGTGGTGATACTCTGGTCATAAATGCATCAAAAGGTAGACGGTGGCATTTAAAATGATGCTCAACTGGTCCTAATTGCTAAAAAAAAAAAAGGCCAAAAAAAATATTACCACTACCATCCTAAATTGGTGACACAGGTCAGAGTGGATCTATGCTTTCATTTTATTTTTGTCTAATTCTGATCCCATTAAATGTTGCACCTGAAATCAAATATTACTACGATTTAGGACTGTAAATATTTTTTCCAATTAATTATTTTGCATCTTTAAAGAGCCTGTGTGAATAACAGTCTGCATTTTTATTACTGCCAGCTGTTGTGCATTCAGAGAGGGTATTCTGGACATGCTTATTTGAGTATCAGTTTAACATCAACAAATCATTTTGAGCCAAACAAGTGCTATTTATGGGACAGGTTATTAGGTTGAAAGAAAACAGGCCCAACTGACCTACTACCACATTTATAGTAAGGCAGATTTTCAGCAACTTAAAGGCAATAAAACGCCCACCGATGAGTAAAATGGCAGGCCTTTAACAGTAAGGAACTTGCTACTGTAGACATTATGGAGAGTGTTTTATGGTAAATTGACTCACGGTTATGGATACAGAAGTGGTTGTTATTCTGATAGATATGGTTTTAGTTCATTCATTCATTACTTTACAAGAAAAATCTTCATGGAATTTGATAAATCCTTTCAGTTATCAATTTTCTTTTTTGTTTCAAATCAATGTAAAACACTCATTTGTCCACAAGATGGCGGCAAAAGAGCAGACGAAAGGCATCACAGACGTTTTTGCCGCATTTAGTTGTTGAGAGATGACTGACTAAACATGTCGATTTTACTCCATTCAAACTTTTTCACATTGTATTTGACAGAAAGAACAAGAAAGATGTTTATTTAACCACAGCACATTAACAAATGTCCTCTGAGATGTTGGTACACCCAAAGAAACAAGAACCAATTGAAAAAACAGGACTAACCCACTAAAACTACACATTACTGTATGTGTAGGCAATGCAAACATGAAGTAGCCTATTAGAGGGGTTACACCCATAGACTCACCATGCAACATTCATGTCCAGACAGGAATCAGTCTGATTAAAACACGAGTTGTAATAAGTAAAGCACTTCTGAAGCAAAACATTGGCATTTCAAAGAAAATTTGAAATGGATTTTAGTCGCCTGAAGAAACTCAGATTGAGTGACATTTTATTCAAAAAGCACAAAGATGGTTTTTAGTATTTGACATTGGTCGATATCTGGAGATTAATTGTATATTTTGTGCAATATGTCCCAAAAATTTGCTGTCTTTAAATGGCAACAGATAAATAAATACAACTGCATGAAATTATCATTAGTATTTATTTTTTTTTTGTGTCAGGCGAGTAATTAAAGAAACACAATAAAATCAACTGAAGCAAGATAATATATCTTATACTCATTGCAGCTGATATAATCAGCAGTGAAATGCTGTAAGTAAGAACTGATTAATCAGTTTTGTTGTTTGGTTTGTTTATTCAGTTACAAGTCAATTTTGCGCTGCTCCTCTCCTTTGTTTGACCTTTTATTGTGATGTAATCAGTAGATAAGGCCTACAGTTATATGAGCCGCCATAATAGGGATTTTTGAGGCCCTTTTATTTAATCTATTCTTTAATCACCAACAAAACTTGTTTTACACCCAACAATGACTTCTATTGATTGCATTATGAAATGGGTGTTTTTGCTTGATAACCAGACTGGTCCCTGCAGATTATTTACAAAATAACCACTCTGAAAATAGGCTTCGATATTTACCACGTTTTAAAGAAAGCATCCCAATAATTTGCAGAAAAGCTTAGGAGAAGTAATGATTTCAGAAGTGTTGATAAATCTGTCGATACATCAGATGTATATTTACATCTGCTAAAAAAAACTATGGAGTAATTTAAAACAAATTAAAACAAAGAAAAGCTTGAGATCGTAAGTATATGTATGCGAATAATATAAATGAGGCAGGTCTTGCAAAATTATTTTTCCTTTATTTTGTGTCAAACTATGAAGCTCAGATTCATTCCAGCTTTGAAGGTTTTCAGTGGTATTTGAACGACTGGAACAATTTTTAATCTCCGTTCATTTAATCTTTCTTGGAGCCCAAACCAGGAGCGGGCCCTTACACAGCCTTACACAAAATCCCCTTTCGACATATGCAACATCTACATGCAACATAGACCAACGACATAGACCAACGACACATAGCAACGACATAGACCAATGACATCTACACATATGCCTTCTACTTATTTTTGACACAAATGGAACCCTATAGAAACGACATAGACCAACGACATCTACACATATGACTTCTACTTTTTTTTTGACACAAATGGAACCCCATATCTGTTCAGTAAAAGATAGCTGCTACAATGGTAAATTTATATCTGTATTCAAGTTAGGTATAATTAAAAGTAATGATTGAACCATTTATAATAGTTTACATTTGAAGAGGTACGGTTTAACAGATTCCACTAATCTGTGGAATCTGTAATGAAGTTTCTCTAATCAGTAACTAGGATTACTTTCAAAAACAAAACAAACTGAAGAAAATCTGCTATCCCTGTGGGGTTAGGAAAATTACTGAGCATAAGTCGCAACAAGACCATTACAACTTTGATTTGCGGGTATTTTAAGAGTAGCAGCTTTCTCCCATTCTCGCTGAGATGACCACATTTCGTGCTATAATAACTTTCAGTCTGGAAACGACGCTATCGGCCGGCTGAGGTTCCGCGCATGCCCAGTGGAGTCGCTCCCAGAAACTGATGAATATTTAAACATACTACTTATGCTGTGTGCCCTTTGATTGGATCCCCTGGCTCAGTTTCCTGTGTTATGTTTCAGAGCCGACGCTCCGCTGCTGGCTGTCAGTGTGGGACTTCACCATGGACGGAGGACGCAGCTGAGGAAACCGCATCCATGCTGTCCCCGCTTTTCCAGGAATAACTTCTGAAAACTTGGACTTTTTCCCTTCCTCCTCCTCCTCTCTGATTTCAGGTTAAAGTTGTAGACTTTTGTTTTTAAAGGACTGCGAACTTCACCGAGTTTCGCACAAATACTGGATTGTGGGGAGACGACAGAGGACTGAGTGGAGCTGCTGTGAAATTAGAGGATGGTGAGTGTTTTGGTACCACTTGTTTAAAGTAGCTAGTAGTTATAGACCAGATATATTCTGGAGAGCTGGGAAAACAAACACATAATAATAATTTTTTTATAAAAAAAAAAAAAGAGGTTAATCCCAGAAGATAAATATGTCTACAAGTGTTTGTTTATTAGTTAATGTATTTTCATTTGTGTTTTTCTTCTTTTTTAAATTAATTTATCTCACAATAACAGACACTGACCTGCTTTCCACACCCCTCACTCCCAACAGCAGACCCGCTTTCCTTAGTGGGTCTGCTCTAAAAGCAGCTGGGGAACCCATATCCTGGACTAATCATCCAGGAATATTTATTTGCAGATAAAGCATCAGTCAGGTGCACCAGGTCTTACATTAAGGAAACCGGTTAGTCAGCCAATGGAGCATGTGTCAGGTGGAGTGTGTACAGTATGTGAAACAACTTGTGTGTCTGCACATTTCCCGGAGACAGGTTTTTCCTGGTTGCTGAATGCCATTCCCTGCAGCAGGCAGACACACCTAGACCCAGCAGCCTGTGTGAGACTCATCATTGTGTTTTGGCAATAATTGCACAAGCCTTTATCACCCGGAGAAGCGCATTTACTTTGGCTGTGATACGGACTGCTATTGCCCTCATGATCCAGTCTGCCTGGATTGACCGGAGAACTTTTGTTTGCTTTAAATTACTACAAAGTACACAATATAATAATTGTAATACTGATGAAGACAGGTTGGAGAGAACTTCATTTGTAATTGTGAGCATCCTCGGGCAGCTTTAGGACAGTTTTTGTCATAAAAGTGTCTTTTTAAGCGCAAGTTGGACTGAGACCTGCTTCGTTTCTTCACCTTAAGCAATGAGTTGAACCTGGAGGTCAGGTTGACCCAAGGCAAAATCAAAAAGCTGCTTGATATTATCGTGATGTACATTTACACTTGAACTACAACTATCGTACATAAAGAAAAAGTGCATAGATTCCTGCATTTGTGGCTACTGCCAACTTGAATTATTTCTGCATGACAAAGTCTGGAAAAACTAAACTCATTTCCCCACAATCATTTGATTAAAATATATAATTTGCATTGATGCATAGTAGTTGTTTCAGGAAATGCTCGCCTCAGTTTGCCTTAGAGTCCCTTGGACAGAAAAGAAACAAGAATAGCCTGATTTTCATCACAACTGTCTGGAGCAGCAGACATCAGCATTGCTCACTACTTCCTCCTCTTCCAGATGTTGAATTGTAAGATGGTACGGCAGCAGATGGTCTG